CAAAACAAAACAAAAAACCCAAAAAACAACAACAAAAAAGACTTTCAATGTAACCAGGTGGTGGTATAAGCCTTTAATACCAGCACCCAGGAAGTAGAGGCATTCATTTCTGAGTCGAACTCAGGCCAGCCTGAGTCTACAGAGTGAGTTTTAGGACATCTAGGGTTACACAGAAAAACCCTGTCTCAGGAAAACAAAAATCCAACGAAAACATGGCTTAAGCTTTGTCATACTCTGTGCACTGAGTTAATTGCCATCAGAAAAGTTTTGTTTTTCCAAATTTGTGCTGTGCTAAAATAAACAACCTGGGACTCTAGAAGTTTGAACCAGCTCTGGCTAAGTCAGGCTGGACAGAGTTTCATTCTTCCATCATCCAGATCTTTTCCCTGCTGACCATAGAGCCTTCAGGGACTCCCACCTCCACCTACCACACACCCCTACCCACTGAGCCATCTTACCAGGCCCTCATAAATTTGTTGTTAATGTGCCTTAATTGCAGTCAAGAAGAAAAAGGAAGCTCTTTGCTATGGGAAGCATATTTGTGACCATAAGCCATCTTAATTGACAGGTTGCCATTTATTACTTAGCTTTAGTAGCTGATCTGAGGCGTGTAGGGGAAGCTGTAACCATGCCTACGTAGGGGCTGGCTACAGGTGTGTCTGACCATGCTTGCGCTTTCGAGGGCGTGTTCAGGGTGACATAGAGTGAGACTTGAAGGGGACTGCGTCTCTCTTTCGGTTTCACTTTTGGGCTTGCGTACAGACCGATGCCACGCCAGCTGGCTAGGCTTTTCTGTTTGTAAGGCTTTTCCCTATTAAATACCCTTATATTTCTACCTGACTCCGTATTGGTAATTTCCCACTATAGAGGAGAAACTAAACAAAGATACCAAACACTTAAAAACATATATGACTGGCCCAATGTGGGGGTGCATGCATTTAATCCCAGTACTTGGGAGGTAGAGGCAAGAAGATCTTCAAGAGTTCAAGACCAGCCTGCTCTATATAATGAGTTCCATGACAGCTAGAGCTATAAAGTAAAAACCCTGTCTCAAACAAAATATGACTTCCAGTGGAATACTAAAAAGGACAAAGATTTAGCCGGGCGTTGGTGGCACATGCCTTTAATCCCAGGAGGCAGAGGCAGGTGGATCTCTGTGAGTTCGAGGCCAGGCTGGGCTCCAGAGGGAGTGCCCGGAAAGGCTCCCAAGCTACACAGAGAAACCCTGTCTCAAAAAACCAAAAAAAAAAAAAAAAAGACAAAGATTTAAACTTGAATCAGCCAAAGCCACAAGGCACTGACAACTCTAACGGCACATTTTAAAGGGAAATAAGCTTTCGTCTCCTTTCAGTGATTTCTTCTTTGTGAAGTTTCTCCCATCTATCCCTGCTCCTTGTCCATGGGTCTAGAGTGGCAATAAAACCAGAATGAGTGTGAAATCCTCATGTAAAATATCAAGGTGTCACAAGAAAACCCACAAAAATCAACAACTAACCTAGTCTCACAGAGACTGACCTAGGCCTTCTGTACATATGTTACAGTTGTATAGCTTGGTCTTCTTGTGGGGCTAACAGAGGGAGCAGCAGCTGCCTCTGGCTCTATTACCTGCTTTTGGAACCCTTTCCTCCCACTGCATTGCCTCACCCAGCCTAAACAGGAAAGGAGGTGCCGAGCCTCACTGCAACTTGATATGCCATAGCTGCTGGCATACATGAGAGGCCTGCACTTTTCTGAAGAGAAGAGAGAAGCAGTGGATTGGGGGTAGGAGGAGAGGAGGGAGGGGGGACTTATCCAGCTGGGAAAAAATTAACTAATTAATTACTACCAAGTTGCCTGTGCTGTCTCATACCTGTGCACATGAAGTGTGTGTCCCCACCTCCCTATTCAGATTCATACTCCCCAAGACTCCCACTATGGCCCAGTCAGTTCACGTATGCCTTCTCACATTTCTGGGAACGTGCCCAGATAGACCCCACCTCAGTCCTTCACAGCCTTACAGCTTCAGAGGCATATGTCTCCTCCTCTAAACCCCCTGCCAGGATCTGTGCAACTTAGGATTCACTGATTTCTTGCTTGTTGTCATTAGTTGGACTCTGATCCTCTGAATAGGGCTATGAGGGCAGGGAAGACTTTACCTGTCAACCTCCATGAAATAGGTAGTGCTAAGACTTATAAAACTTTGTGGGAGTGAAGAATGAAAGAACGAACGAACAAATGAACGAACGAGCGAGCTTCCTTTAGCCTATATACTGAGATGTCTGATGTAAAATGACCAGGCTTCGTTTCTATGTACTTTTTTCATGGAGGCTTCTGATTCTACTGAAGCAGCAGGTTAGTCAAGACTTCAGTGTGCATAGCCACCCTCTGACTCCATGCAGAGAGATGCACAAACTCTGGTATCACAGCTAGCATCTCCCCAGGATCTATCTACATCCTCATCCCCTGGAGTGTGTGGCAAAACCGCAGTTGCCCCAGGCTGCTCTAAGCATCTGCCTTCAGGAGTGAAGCCAAGGGACCCGAACAACTGAACTCTGAAAACTGCCACTCCACTTTGGGCTGCCCAGTCCATAGTGAGGCTCTATGGAAAAGGCATTAGACTTTGGGTCCAAATAGTCTTCACTTTGTTTTGTTTTGAGACAGGGTCTCACCATGTAACTCTGATTGGCTTGGAACTCACCATGTAAAACAGGCTGGCCTTGAGGTCACAGAGCTCTGCCCACTTCTGCCCCCTCGTGCTGGGTGTGTACCACCACACTCAGCTCAGATATCTTTTTAAACAATGACTCTGCCATTTACTAGACTTGGGACCTCTGACAAGTTTTCTTCTCCTTAAAACAAAAACAAGACCACGTGAGGTTCAAACCTTAGGCCTGGTGTGGTGCTACAGTGCTGTAAGCCCAGCACTCAGGAATCTGAGGCAGGATGGTCTCTTAAGTTCTAAGTCAGAACTCAAGCCAAGCCAGGTTGAGCTAGCTACATGGTAAGTGCCTATCTCAGAAAACCAAACAAATGAAAGATGAACAAAGCATGTTTCCTTAAATGGGACTAGAGCATCCAGAGTGAGAGATCAATGAGACATCTCTTTCTGCTGCAGCCTGACTGAAATTTAACACTTCAGCTGTGGATGTAGGCAATGGTACCTGTAACCCAGTTAACAATAGAAAGTGTGACAATTTTCCCTTCACATTATACCCATTGCAGATATTGTTAGGTTTCAAACCTGCGACAAATGGCTGAGGCTCCCATTTAACATATCAAAGCAGACAGGGCTGCCAAGTTCTCCCAGCATCCCTCAGGCCCTACCTGTTACAGGGTATGGCTGGCATACCCCACCCCCTACCCTGAACTCTCCAGTCCAGGAGCTGGGCTGCCCTTCCCCAAGAGGCTCTTCCCTATATAATCCAGCCATTTTGGTTACCTACCCCTTTCTGTACCTTTGGCCTCCTGGCTGGTGCACCTGGTTCCTCTCTCTCCTTCCCCTCCCGACACTGCTCAAGGTTATGACCACTCTGGAATCTGGAGATGTGTCAGACTCTGGCTACACTCTCCCTTTTATCTACGGTCAAGTTTCTCCTCTACCACACCTAGGAGCAGTCATGCCCTCTCCTTTTTATTTCTTTTTTTCATTCAGATATGTCTAAGTGCATTTGAAACTCATCACTATTTTGAGAATAAAGCAGTTACCAGATATGCTGAGGTTTTGGGGGTCAGGGGCTTGTTTTTTTATTTTTTATTTTTTTTATTTTTCAAGACAGGATTTCTCCACGTAGCCCTAGCTGTCCTGGAACTACCTCTGTAGTCTAGGCTGGCCTAGAACTCACAGAGATCTGCCTGCCTCTGCCTCCCTAGTGCTGGGATTAAAGGTATGTACCACCACCACCTGGCTGAGACCTGCTGTTTTAATGCAATAATAAATCTTTATGAGTACAATTTAAGAAGTATTTTGATTATTATATACTAATATATTTTTCTCTTCACAATTGTTTGTGTATTTCAAGTACATAAAGAAGACTGGAGAGATGACTCTGCAGTCAAGAGCCCTAGCTGCTCTTTCAGAGGACCCAGGTTCAGTTCCCAGCACCCACACGTGATGGCTCACAGCTGACTGGAACTCCAGTTCCAGGGGATCTTATGTCCTCTTCTGACATGTGTGGGGACAAGGCATTATGAGGTATAATACATACATACATACATACATACATACATACAAGCAAAAATCTTATACATAAAATAAAAATAAATTGTCTGGAGTTGGTGGCACACGCCTTTGATCCCAGCACTCAGGAGGCAGAGGCAAGCCGATCTCTGTAAGTTCGAGGCCATCCTGGTCTCCAGAGTGAGTGCCAGGATAGGCTCCAAAGCTACACAGAGAAACCCTTTCTCAAGAAACCAAAATAAAATAAAATAAATGAAAAAATAAAAATACACAAAGAAAGATGAGACAACAGAACACTGTAGTGTAGCAGCCATGACACAGAGGCAGGAGGACCAAGCATTTAAAGTCATCCTTCTTAGGTTTCTGAGGCAACATTAAGAGAAGAGACAAAAAGAGCCCAGAGAGTCGGGCGTTGGTGGTGCACGCCTTTAATCCCAGCACTCGGGAGGCAGAGGCAGGGGAATCTCTGAGTTCAAGACCAATCTACACATACATACATGTGCACATACGTACAGATGCATACATATACATACTTACATAAAAATAAAATAGATTTTTGTTTAAAAGAACATAAAATGCTGGGCGATAGTGGCTCACGCCTTTAATCCCAGCACTCAGGAGGCAGAGGTAAGCAGATCTCTGTGAGTTCTAAGCCAGCCTGGTCTATATACTGAGTTCCAGGACAGCCAGGGCTATGTAGAAAAGGGTCTTTTTACATAACAAACAAAGGGTCTCAAATAAAACAAAACAAAGAATATAATATTTTTAAATAGGAATAAAAGTTTGACCTGTCAGTCATCAAAATACATGCCAAATTGTGGAAAATATGTACACATTAGAGGCATTGCTGTAAAGGTAAATTTATTTAAGAGAAAATGTGTCCAAGTCTCCCTTTTGCACAATGCACAAACACTATGGGGACAATGTGTGTCTGTGAACAGCACTCCATGGTCTGTTCGATGTTCCTAGGCCATCCTAAGGAGACTATGTGGCAGACACTGAGTGTCCAGGTTCCGGAACTGAAGTAGGCTCTAATCTTCCACCAGCAGACTGTCAGCCTTCAGCTGGGTCCTCCTTATACTCTCCAAGTTCAGCTGTTGATACTTCCTTTTGAAAAAGCCACACTGAAACAGAGAGGAGGGAACCCTCATAAAGAACCTGGGGTAGCCACCTGCTTTAGAAACTGTCTTCTAAAGTCGCTAAGCAGCTCCAAACCTGGGCTTCCTGGGCTTCTCTTTGTTCCCTCTGCCTTCCTCTGAGCTTTCTTGATCTTCCCTGTCCCTTTTTCAGTTTTTTCAGTGAGTGTTGCCTTCCTGGTGTTCATCCCCCAACAAGAGATGGCCTTCCACCGTCCTCTGAGTCCTCTGAACCGCTAGAGCACTTAAACACCTTTAACTAGCTAGGTGCTATGGGGTCAGTCATACAGCTGGATCTAATCCTCTTTCTGGAAGAATGCTTGGGACAGCCTGCCATGCTAAAGACATAAAGATTGCCCACAATCTCCCACAGAAGTTCAGAATCTAGGAAAAGGGCAAAATGACCATGAGGTGTGATGACTGCTACCTGTAAGGCTTTCAGGAGGGAGCTCTCAGGCCTGGCACAGGGGCCTAGCTAAGCCTTCTGGGGAGCTGTGTGAAGGGTGAGAGGGTGGGAGCTGGCACTCCTAGCATGTCACACAGGCCCAGACAGAGAGTCCTGAACCTATTCAGGGAATGGGTCAACTTGTCTGCAGAAAACAAAGCAAGACTTAGGGGTGTGAGAGACAGAGGCCAGGATGTAGAAGGCTTCAAATAACACTAAGAAAGTCTGGACTCTGGGGTAGGGACTTTCAAAGGGGTGACAATCAGATCTGCTTTAGGAACATCTCTCTGTGCTCAAATACTTCAATTAGGCTTTTATTATTTTTTTCCAGAGAGAAAATGTCAGGTTCATTTGTCTAAACAGGACACAGAGCTTCAACAAACAAAGAAAAGAGGCCACATGGCCAGGGTAGGTGCAGTAGGCCTGAGGTTAGCTGTCTTCCAAGGTAATGAAAGCAGTATCAGAGCCCAGTGGTTTCTCCGTGCAAACATGTTGAGTGGAACTGACCTTGAATAGAATGGCTATAATCACAACCAAGAGCAGGAGGCCTCCAATACTGCTGCCAATGATGAGAGGCAAAGAGTTGGGCTCCTCATCTCTCAGGAAGATGACAGTGATCTGGATAAAGATTCAGTCCATAAGTCAGTAAGTTACAAGGGAGGAAGACGGTCCATGTTATTTTAAGGAACAAGAGATGAGGACTTGGTAACAACCTGCATATTGATCAAGACTGATGATGGAATGGCAGAAAGCTGACCACCGCCTGACTCAGCATCACCTAAAATCATCTTATGATCACAGCACTCCATAAGAAACTATTCTGGTCTCTGATGTAAGCGAGCTGGGTCGTTGGGGGCTGTGACCTTGACCTAATGGTGGTCTGCCAGTCTGAGAACAACTCCCAGAGCAACAAGATTCTACAGCAGCTGTGCCCTTCTGTGTCCTTGATCCCTATGGTCACTGTCTCCAAAGTGATGACTTGTTTAAAGATCTCGGAGTCCTTTTCAATTCAAGTCTGACAGATACTTTTAAATCTCCCACACATGCCTAAAGTCTTTGGCAATACATTTTCCTATAAGAGGCTGGAGAGATAGCTCAGAGATTAAGAGCACTGGCTGCTCTTCCAGAAGTCCTAAGTTCAATTCCCAAAACCTACAGGGCAGGTCACACCCATCTATAATGAGAACTGGTTCCTATTCTGGCATACAAGCAGGCAGAACACTGTATACATTTTCCTACAAGAAATGACTGCCAGGGGTTGCCCTGTCCTTCACCAGGCTGAGTGCAGCCCTCGGGGACACTGTGAGGTCAAAAGCGGGTCCACCCATGGCACTGCAGGGCTCTTCTGTTAGAAATCACTCCCACAAGGTGTTTTCCTAAGGATCTCAGCAGCTCAGGAGTCTTCTCTCACCCTGACACACTGGAAAACTCTATGGAAACACTTCCTGACAAGGGTTTGGCCCTCCTGGGTAGTGGCCAAAGCATGCTGCCAGGACACAGTTAGAGCCAGAGGGTCATCATGACTCCCTGCTGCAAGACACTGAGTTCCCTTCAGGCCAGTACATAAGCACCAAGGTCATGCATGCTTTGGAGAGATTTCCGTACAGGGTAGGGAGTTAGCCAACTCACCCTTGAGGCTTCTCCCAGCTAAATTATAAATGTGACTGACTCAGGACTGGCCCTCTGGACTACACTTGGCTACAGGTAAACTGAACTTCACAGGAGTTAAGTTCTGACCTTGAGAGTAGGAAGGGAACTGCAACAGAGCTGGAGTGGGGACAGGAACAGAGTTGTGATCCAACACCAGAGGGGAAGGTAAGGGGGTGGGGGGGAAGACAGGACTCTGGAACCCGGGCTGAGGAATGAAGGAGGCCCCAGGGCACAATAGGCCAGACTGGAGTGGAAACAGCATCCCTATTTCTCCAAGCCTTCTTCCTTTGCCCTCTTTGAAACGCACAGCTTCTCCCCAAAATTGCCCAAAACTAATCCAGCAGAGGGTAAGGGAGAAGGGGGACATAGAATGCCCCCCCCTGCTTGTGGCAAACATGGGCAGTGGGCAGTCCAGTGGCCATACTGTCAGCTGCTGTTCTGGAGTCATAGCAGTCAAAGCAAATCAGGACAAATTGTCTCCTTTGCTGGTGACCGGGATTGCACCTGCACTGACAGCTGAAGAAACCATTATTTTTAGTTGGTACCTTTCAGTTAGGGTTGGATTTCAATTATATTACTTTATTTATTTTTCAGTTTTCAAGACAGAGTTTCTCTGTATAGTTCTGGCTGTTCCAAAACTCACTCTGTAAACCAGGTTTGTCTTGAACTCTATTTTTTTTTAGAATCTAGGCAGTGTGACTAATAATAATATGTTTTTTCAATATCATTTTCTGTACAAGCAATGCTTCAGAGACCAGCAAATGGCTTAGCAAGGGAAGCTGTCTGCCTCTAGGGTCGACAACTCTTGCCAGTTGTCACAAGTATCCCTTGCCATGCCCATGCTCACACACATATCTACACACACGAAATAGGTAGGTGTGTAAGATCAGACTGTGCCCAGCTCTGAGTTACTCTATACTGTCTGTACACACACACACACACACACACACACACACACACCCCTACACTCACTAAGTAAGTATAATAAGCTGGGTGTGTAAGATCAGGCTACACCCCCGCTTTGGGTTACTCTGTAAAAGTCTGTATAAAACAGTTTTCCAGACTGTATAAAACAGTCTCCAGAGTGAGTGCCAAGATAGGCTCTAAACAAAGCTCTAAACAAGACAGAGAAACCCTGTCTTGAAAAACAAAAAAAAGCCGGGTGGTGGTGGCGCACGCCTTTAATCCCAGCACTCGGGAGGCAGAGGCAGGCGGGTCTCTGTGAGTTTGAGGCCAGCCTGGTCTACAAGAACTAGTTCCAGGACAGCCTCCAAACCTACACAGAGAAACCCTGTCTCGAAAACACCCCCCCCAAAAAAAAAAGAAAGAAAGAAAAGAAAAGAAAACCAAAAAACAAAAACAGTTTTCCAGGCTATGCCTTGCCCCAAGAGAGACTCATTTTATGAGCAGTATTTGACTCTATTTTGAAGATGGAAGAGGACTGTATGCCTGGGTGGACATGTGAACAGCACCATTCATCTGGCATCATGCATGTAACACAGACTGATAAATGACTCACTTATTCCTAGAAGTAGAAAGGCCAGCATAAATTTATTGGGGTGAATTGAGACTGTAAGAGATATACCGGAAACTAGGTCCAGGAGCTTAACAGACACACTAGACCAAGGAAAAGGCGTGGGCAACATTAGTTATCTATTTATGTGTATGAGTATTTTGCCTGAATAGATGTCTGTGAACCATGTGTACTCTTGGAGCCTCTGCAGTCAGAACAGGAGGGCAGGAGATGGCATCAGGTCCCTTAGAACTAGAATCATAGATGGATGTGAGCCACCATGTAGGTGCTGGGAACTGAACCTGGGTCTTCGGCAAGAGCAACCTACACTCTTAACCAATGAGCCATCTCCCCAGCCCCCAACACCCACTCGGTCCTCCATGGCATCAGGCATATATGTGGTAAACAGACATACAGGCAGGCAAAACACTCACACACGGAAAAAATAAACTTTAAAAAGAAAAAAAAAATGAAGATATAGGGCAACACACACAAGAACATTCAGCTCAGACCCGGACATCAGTTCATTTTTGAAACATGAACTCCAATACTTCTAGTGCTCGGTCTAAGGCCTGTAAAATGATTAGGCACTGTGAGCATGCCCCTGCTCAACACTGTAACAGGCACTAATGTTACATACTAGGAGGACAGTATATGGACTTCTCACGTAGGAAATGTTTTGTTTCCTAAATTAGTTTCAAAATCAATTAATTTTTTAAACTAAGTACAAACTGTTGTTGATTCCTATTACACAGATGAAAAACTGTCACAAGGTCAGCAGTGACAGCAGTTTCCCCAGAACACTCATGAGAAAACAGGCCGGAGTTACCTGCGTTCTGTGGTTCTCTGCACTCAGCCCCTCATACAGAGATTTGTTGAAAGATATTTCACCGAGGATCTGCAGCTCAGTCACATCTCTGAGTAGCTATGACATAGAGAAAGGTGGGGTGTGGAGGAACACGAAACATGTTGTAGACATGAACTCATTGCTTCTGAAGAGTTTGAACCAATTTTCCCTTCAAATATATTCCTTCTCCAGTATTCCTTTTTAGCCTCCATAAATGGTCCCAGCAGCCACACAGTTTTCCAAGCCACAAGCCTGTAGTCATCCCCTAACTTATTTCCCCTTACGCTTGACATCATGCTATAACCACCACCTCCCCCACCCCTGGCAAAGTCAGCTCTGGACAGTTCTTCATTCTCTCATCCATGTGTCCCTTTTCCTCCATAGCCACTTCCATCTCATCTGGCTCACTGCACAATGTTAAACTGGATCATTTGTTCCCACTTTACACTAAGGTCTTTTAGGAAAATAAAATTTGAGCAATATTACGCAAACTAACTATAAGTACAAAGTGGCCACAATGATATAAACAAGCTAAAAAGCAGAAATGACAGAATATCTGGGTATAAGGGAGAGACAGGTGAGAAAGGACAGACAGCACGGGGTGATAAATTAAGCATATACCAGATCATGTAAATCTTTGCTTGCCAAGAAAGCAGTGTGGGTTTTAACCTAAGTGTATCCAATTCCAAAGTCAACTGTGTTTGAAGTTTCTGATTTTTGTTTTTAAAGGAAGATAGCACAGTCTAATGCTCAATTAAGAATTATTTCCGTTTTAAAAATCATGTGCATATATGTGCATGTATGTATGTGAGTGCAAGTGTCCATGGGGACTAGGAAAGGGCATCAGATACCCCCACAGCTGGAGTTACAGGTTGTTGTGAGCAGCTAGGAACGGAACCTCATCTTCTGAAAGAAGAGTACATGCTCTAAACTGCTGATCCATCTCTCCAGCTCTTGAAGAGTTATTTGGATAGGTTAGGGGGAACGCCAAGACAAAGAGAGCGTGCCTAAGGTTAGGCAACAAGCCAACAGAGAATTATTAAACACATCGGTAGAGCAGAGAGACCTGATGTAATACAGGTTCTGAAGATGGGATGGCAGGGATTGCTGCTAGGATACACATGGGAAAGTAGCAAAGAGGAGTCACGGGTAATTCGTACATGTCAGTGTGGAACAGGATTAAGATACCTGCTATGTACTTGATAAGAGCAGGTTGGGACAGAAAGTCAATCAAGGTATCTATTCCGGATGGCACATTCCCGGTGCTATTACTCTTTCTAGAGGAGAGGCCCTAGAATTGGATGACAAAATCTGCAAAATTTCAGTCTCGAGTACCTGCTTAGTGTGGCCCAGGGAGATCTCCGCAGCCACGGTTACATTTTCTTTATTAGACGTGATATCACAGATCACTGAATGCCACTCTTGTACGTGCTGCAAAAGCAAAAGGTGAGTTTGCTCACTCCGTTCTAGCACATCAGGCTGAAAAATCTGCATGTCTAGGACAGAGCATCTAAGGCCCCAGGGCGAGCAGTTTGAGCTAAGTGTCAGTCACCCTAGCAAACAGGACCAGTGAGGCTGAGAGCCTCGGAAAGAACTTTGCAGACGCTGCGACCTGACC